AGCAGGTCCGACCAGCAAGTCACTGCTCTAGGTAAGAGATTATCCTGTAAACGGGTTATCGGAACGCTGATCGAGAGGAACTAATCCAGCCACCCCGTGGAAAGCGAGATGACGGGTTAACTAGTCTCGGAGTTAATGAGGAGTTTAACTATCCGCTCAAAAACTAGCACAGCAGTAGTTGACAGACGGAACACAGTTAACAACTAGATATGCTGTGCTATTACTCTCTGCACCTCGCTATGTACGGCATATATGTCGATGCTGCTCTTCCCGGATGCTATGGCCTGCCTAGCGCTCGCTACGGGACTGGAGCATAGCACAAAAGGAGCAAATCAGGTACTGGCATCCAAATTCCCCCCCCCCCCCGAACTGGGATCATTTTCAGCTCGACGATTGTAGTTCATATTCTGTACACCCTACGTACATGTGGGCACTCATGATTTAAAATCAGTATTTATATTACTTCCGTTTTATCTCCCTGCTGATAGGAAGTTTCTCCATATGTAAGTGAACCCCTGGCCTCGTGGCGGACAGGATATTGAGTTATTCCTCGCTCCATGAACGGTCCAAAAAAAAGTCGGAGAATAGACCATGGGGGGGTAACCCTTCACCAGATACCAGCATATACTAGCCAGGGTGTGATGCCGATGTTGATAAGGGGCCCGCAGGGGGGTAACGAAGAGGCATGCCCTGTTTACGCTCTGTACCAGACCAACTGTTACTCTGCTGTGGACAAACGACATTATTCGCTGACTTGTATTTTGAAATAGGAGGACGATGTCTCTCTTGCTAGTGTTGATCGCCATGTGGCAGAGACAAACGTGTCAAACCCCCAAGCACATACACTTTTGTCTCTCACAGGCTCGTATTCCGGCAAGGATCAGGGCGACGCTCACTTCGCTTCCTGGAAAGCCATGCAGGGGCGCTGGCCTTGTGATTTCCAATCCATTGCAAATTTATTTTTATACTTCGGCCACCACGTTTTTTTCCTTTTTTTTCTGAAAATGGGGCCAGGCATTGAGGCTCTGCATAGTTCAACCGTGTCCGACACTCTTATCTCTGATTCTTCTCATGTGGCCTTTCAGAGGGAAGAAAAGAGAGAGAAAAACAAATATCGGAACTATCAAAAGCTGACTGGGTAATCCCTGTCCCCTACACCCGCTACATCATGGCGCAAGGTCGGTGGGTGGTGGAACAAGCTCTCTCTTCTTTTCTCGGGCCTGAGCTGCTGGCTGCTTTTATATGCCCTCGCATCCCCCAGATCCTCCCTCAGCTTGAACACAAACAACCTCTCCTTCTCATACCTTCACGCTACACGCTGGCATTAACTACTCTACTTCTACAAGCACACTAGTGAACCTCATGCCATACATGCACTCAGAGCTACACACCTACCAGGCTTCCACTGTTCATCCCGTCTACTACGCTATTGAACCGTGAAAGCCATCTGCTCTACCCGCAAGTCTAGAGAGTCGCACGTCAAATCCCAAGGTATTCATCAATTTCTACTGTGTTTGGATTCCAAAATCAGATTTCAACGATGACCTCAATGGCGGGCACCTTCACTCTCGCCCTCGACCCTACTACACATTTCGGCTTTTCAGAAGACGGGTCCCATACTGACTACGAGCTGGCTATCTCTCCGCGATCGGATGATATCAGAGCCATGCTGGGATCCAACGACTTCCCCTACGACCTCGATGCCGCGGGAGTGATGAACCAAAAGCAGAATATGACCAAGGCACAGCCGCTCACTGGGTTCGAGCAGTGTGCTTCAGCCTTTCCAGCAAATCCCCAGAGAGATGTAGAGATCTACAACAGCCCATATCACATGGAGACTACGATTCCCTGGGAAACTGACTGTATGATGTACACCTCACTGCCACAGCGCATGGTGAGGTATACCTCTCCATTGGGCTCTTGCGGAGGAGACCAATCTACATCTGATTCCTCCATGAGCGAGTACTCGTGGAACTCTCCTAAGCTCTATCCTAGCGTCAACGATGTATTCGACTCGCCAATCACCGAAAAATGCCAGTTCTCGGATGGCATCGACAATGCTCTGTCTAGGAGCCTAAGTGGTTCGCAGTTAGGAAGCGAATGTTCTGTCTCATCTAAAGATGTACAACATTACCCGGATCCTGTCCCTACCCAAAGCCCTACTTTTGAAGAACTCATGCTGTCTAACAAGCCACCCCGATCTATCCCTGCCTTCATGTCACAGTCCTTTTCACTACAAAACCTGGACTCACGGCTCGGGCAAGATGACATGGTCTTCGGAGATCATTTACAAACTGGGAACAACGAAATAGTTGATCCAGCCCTAGGCGAGGCCTATTTCGACCGCCAGAACAGTCTCTCGGGAATCACTTCTGCGGGATTTTCTGGCTTGGTTCACAAGCGAGTAAAGTATAACGAGATAAAAGCAGATAGCTCTGTTTCGATACCCAGCCCTCCATTATCCCCAAGCGGCAGTGAGAGTGGTGTACGAAAGAACCGAGCGAAGCCAAAGCAAAGACAATCCCCAGTCAGCAAACGCACGACTAGGCGAACCCCGTCGAAGAGTTCAAGTTTCAGCATTCCCCGAAACCGCCAATCGGCGGCGGACCGCATCTTCTCCTGCGTTTTTGCCCCATATGGTTGCACAAGCTCCTTTGCCTCCAAGAATGAGTGGAAGCGCCACGTTCTATCCCAACATCTCCAGCTTGGCTTTTATCGATGTGACATTGGTCACTGCAAGGTGTCTAAACCGTCCAACTCTATGGTGTCCACTCCCTACTCCTGCGATTGCCCAGCCTCCATCTCCTCTTCCCCTTCTCATTCATGCACTATTACTACTATGCGTACCCCCAACGACTTCAACCGCAAAGACCTCTTCACTCAACATCTTCGCCGCATGCACGCGCCTTGGTTGACTCTCCCCTCTCCACATGAGCCTACCAAGGGAGAACGTGAAGCTTTCGACAAGCAACTTGATGAAGTGCGAGCCAGATGCTGGGTCCAGCAACGGCAAGCTCCTCAGCGAAGCCAGTGCAACTACTGCAGCCATGAATTTGTTGGCCCACACTCCTGGGAAGACCGCATGGAACATGTGGGCAAGCACTGCGAAGTTATGGATACCGAAGAGCGCGAAGACGTTGCCCTGCGTGAGTGGGCCATTGAAGAAGGTGTCATTCTACCATACGGGCCTGGCAAGTGGCTGCTAGCAAGCATACTGAATGGCAGTGGAAAGAAATTCTGTGGATACTCCTCATAGTATGCTTCTCTTTTTTGCCTCAAATGGGGGAGAAAAAAAGGGTGAGAGAACCGAACCAGAAACGAAAACAAAGGAAAAAAACATCCCTTTTCTCTGTCTGTTTCTGTATATATTTTCCCCTACTTGTTTGTTTATGACTTTTCTTATACTTTTTCATTTGTTACGACTCGGGCAAGACTTCAGGAAAATTCAGCATGGCATTATGTGGTGGTATGGAAACACGGGTTTCATTTGTAACGAATACAAAGCTTTGATATGACTGCTTTTCTCCCCTTTTCCCAGTTTAATATTCTATTGCCTCTCAAATGGCCCTCCTCTACTTAACCCTGATATTTTCTGCATATTAATATCACAATAATGATCTTGAAGATTGATGTATCGTACTCTCCAGCGTTCACTTTAGATCTTTGGCACTTGCTACTAGAATCTTCCGATATCCAATCTACAACTTGCCGCATCCAACTCATCCTCAATCATGTTCTAAAAATTTACGGAAAATATCATAATTCAAGTTTCCATCCAACCGAAGTATCATGTAGAGTGTCTTTCAGAAGCTACGCCCGCCTTCAGCATGCAGGCTACCTGCATGCAGCAGGGCTCAAACAACTCAGGCCCTGGTTAATCACTGACATATCTATTAGCAATCGAGCGGGACTATGTAAGCTCCGAAGCCACTTAAGGGGTATGCACGCAACCTGGCCGCAATCCTGTTTGCACGCGGCCATGCACGGAAGAGTAGATGCAAGTGTCCATGAAGGATTCAGCTTGCATCATGCCTGTAGATTGCCATGCAGAGCAGCTGTACTTGGCAGCAAATTTTTTTTTTTTTTTATTTTTTTAAAGTATTACGGGATTTTCCCGGGTGCCGTTGGCCACGAGGCTGGGAAGTTAGCAAATAATACCTTAGTGGGAATGTTCCAAACGTTAGTTTCTAGATTCCCGTGTAAGAGGTTGATTGATGTAGGATCGTGGACAGATATACGAGAACCAACAAGCTTTGAGGATTGTGTGGACCCTCCGCCATCTCATGGACAGTTGGTTTTGCTTCGTCATGCCTTATGACGGCGCCCGGAGCAGCGCACAGAAAAGTGGCCGAGATAGTGGAGGTCTGATTCTGGAGACTTACGTCTGCAGATATCCGAGGGAATAGAATGTGGCTGAATGTCCCTAAGGGTAATATATCCTGTGACTGTTTGTCGGGTGTAAATAGGAGAGCGCATAAAAAGATGACATAAATCTCCTGAAACATCGTGCAGGGTTCAGCACAACCATGTCTGCATAAGCATTGAGCACCAGTTACCCCAAGTTCAATAGGCTACCTCAAGGGGAGAACCGGAAAAGGCTATCTATCATTTGCCGAATCGAGTATGGTCGCCTACTCGCGAGACACATATAATGTTGAAAATGTGGTATATAGCAGCTTTTCCTGGCTTTAATTGCTGTATGAAATTTGCGGCCCCCAAGCAATGTGCAGTTAATATGCAATGAACATTAGAAAGTAATTGCATATATGGCGTGTTGCAGGTATATACACGGTGTTCAGAGCGACTGATGGCCAGATAAGTCAGTTATCCATGTGGATAATGCCATATCTTTGTTGCATAATGCTGGGATCAATAAATCGTCACGGTGGGGGACATGATCTACGCTAACTGGCGTAGGGTGCATTGCAAAAATTATGGTTATAATGCCAGGGAAATTTGCAACCTCGCCTGCGAGACATGCTAGCATGACAATAGATCCTCTAAGATCGTCTTCGCTTTTCAACTGCCTCTCGAAGTTTTGCAATAACTTCAGCGGGGTTCTGGGCTCCAAAAACGGCGGATCCCGCGACGATGACATTAGCACCCGCATCAGCCGCCTGGTCTATGGTTCCAACGCCCAGTCCACCATCGACCTCGATGTTCATGTCGGGGTATTTGGCTCTCAGGGCCTGGACCTTGGGTAACTCGGAAGCCATGAACTTTTGGCCGCCGAAGCCTGGGTTAACTGTCATAACAAGTACCATCTATAATATAAACTGTTAGCACAGTTGGTCTCCATAAGATTCTCCCGCTGGTACGCCCGAAGAAGTGTCCTCACATCTGGTCGTTCAATTGCCTCCTTGTTTTCTAATATATCCCAGAGCACATTTACACTGGTCTCTGGTTTAATGGCAATGCCTGCCTGCATGCCTAGTTCGTGTATATAACGAATTAGCTCCTTTGGGCTTGTTTTTTCGGTTGTCGTGTTATCCGAAGGCTCCTTGGCAGCAGTGGACTCGACAGCCGCCTCGTAATGGAAGCAGTACAGGTCACACCCGGCGTCTTTAAATTCTTTAGCCCATTTTTGAGGCTATAACAGCGTAAGCTATGAGATCATATATACTTGAGGCATAGGGATGCGGAGGAAACGGAAGGGTGTGGGTACCTCAGCAATCATCATATGGCAATCAAAGGTCCCTTTTCCACCTGCACAAGTCGGCCTTTGGACATGAGTTCTTATCTTTGAGACAACCGGAGGTCCGAAGGTGATGTTCGGCACGAAATGACCGTCCATGATATCAACGTGGATCCAGTCGCTGTCATTGTCCATCAACCCGGAGCATGCTGCACCGAGAGAGCCAAAGTCGGCAGAGAGAATTGAGGGAGCGATAATTGCCGGTGGTCCCATCGTGAACGATCTGTATGAGCTTGCTAGAGACTGTGTTGGATTAAATGAAGATGAAAGCCGGGAAGTTGAGGTTGGTTTTGTTGGATGTTTTGATCCAAGATGAGAGATAGTGGGGTAGTGGGGATGATAATGCGTATTAGTCAGCCATATCATCACATGACATAACTAAAGGTCAAATTTTCTTGGTTATTAATCAAATTCCTGTAAATATCTATATCAACAAGATCAGACGAAAGGAAAAAAGCACTTAGTTACAGTCACAGATACTACCTAATGGCCCCTGTAATAACGGGGAGTGCATATTCTACAGATGGGCTTCGAGGTTGTAAAAAATAACTGGATAGGCACTGACAAATTGCTTACCCCGGCACAGAGATGAGAGCTACTTTTATATAGTACAGAATTATCGATGAAGTGCGAATCTACTTTGTTCACTCATATATTATTGAACCAGGGATGCTCAAGGGCATCATTTGCGGTTATCCTTCTCGCAGGATCCAGACTTGTCATCTTAGCGAGGACATCCCGAAAGGGCTCGTCAACATCCTCCCACATCGAAAGTGGCTTTCGCGGGTCCTCCGGAGTAAACTCATCAGCAACAGCAACAACAATATCTCGCCACTCGGCAGAATCATCTTCCAGGTGTTGTAGGAACCCAACCAAACCAGGGCCATCCCCGAAATGAGAGAGCAACCGCTTGACTATAATACGATCTTTTTCATAAACATCTATATCCCTTTCGTTGATATGGAAAATATTCTTGTGAAGCATGGTATATATGCACTAGATAAGGCTAATGAGCATATATTGTTATTACAATGGAGGGATATTTAAACAGTCACTCACAACAAGGCCAAAGGAGAAAATGTCAGATGGAGTGTTGATACGGGCAGCAGCGTGGGACTCCGGGCTTCGCCACATGGGATTTCCAAGCCGGGCACCACGAACATTTAGGCCAGGGGGAATCATCGAACCCATCTCCAGGTCTCCAATTTGAGTTCTCTCTATTTTGATTGTGCCATCAACGAGGTCACAGTCGACAAATATGTTGTTTGGCTTAATATCTTGTAAAGTTGAAATGGAACGAGAAGTTAATACAAAGCAAAAGCAGCAACTAGTTTAATAAACTAGGTAAGGGTGGAGTTTAATTACCACCGTGCAAAATGCCCCGTTCATGTAGAGCGGCAAGTCCAGTTAACGAATCCCGCAGGATTCTCTTTCTAGCTATATAAGAAAGACCGTCTTTCCTAGCTAGGCCGAGTAAATCTTCGGTAAGGAAGTCATATATAAACAAGAGGTGCTCAGGAACAGTATCCTTCACTACTCTTAGGTTAGGGCAGCTTGCAAGAGGCGTCTGTAGGCCCCACTGATATTCGAATTCAGTGGAATATATATTTTTAATGGCATGCTTCTTTCCGTCCTGGGTTCTAATAGCGTTGGACACTTAGCAATCTAAGGCATCAAGCCCTGGGCTAGTGTATGATACATACATAGCCTGATAGACACATGACAAGTCGGGTTCCGTCCTGTGCTGACGAACCTGATCGATGTAGTAGAGTTCCCCAGTTTGGCCTGTTAGGCTTGCTCCCACTTTCAGCGCTCCCTTTGGCTGCGTGGCATGGCTGGTTGACATGCTCATGGTTGACGGTCTCCTGGAGAAGAAAATGTCTCGACGCTGTACGGTATTAAGTCGGAAAAACAAAGGCGATGTAAAGGGGGCTGATTGAGGACCGAATACTCGCAGTCTAAAAGCCATGGCAATTCAATGTCCAGAGTGGTATAGTAACAGTTAAATAAACATTGAATATCACGGGGTATTAAGTGTGGTACAGATATAGGTATTCAGTAAGTTGGATGAGGACTGCATGACTAGTTAGCTATATGCCGAATATAAGATGGAAGGGAGCCCGAGAATCCATTTTTCAGTCCATTGGTGATTTGATTGATTGCATCGGGAATAGAGGTTGCTTGAGACTCCGGCGGACAACAAGCGCAGGGTTCTTCAAGCGAGGCATAAGGGATATATTGAGCATCATCAACTGCTCCGTCAAAAGAGGCATAGCCAGACCTTTTCGCTATCAATTCGCTTGATAATGGGCTATGTCGTTGTTTCTCTGAAGAAGCTCAAGGTTGCCCCTCTCGGCCTGGTGGTTGGTAGTCGAAAGTGACAGGTAGTTATGACGTTAACGTCTCCGTACCGACGCTCGGGGATCCAGCATGTAACGTGACTCTCTCTGACCCGACTGCTCTGCTCCCTTCGTAGGCAGTAATAATGCGATGAAGTTAACGAGACGACAGCTTTCCACGGCCAGAGAAGCCTTCAACATTTCAGTCGACGTCTCCAGCTGTGCGTCTGCGTCCCCCGATCTTTTGTTTCGAGTGAACCTACCTAAGCGGCCGTTTGAGACCACCGGGACGGCCTATTTTTTATCCTCGAGACCGCTCAACGGCGACGGAGTAAACGAGCGGGCAGCCCCCCTAACTAATAAAGGGGCTGATATCATTCACTGATACAGCCATATTCTCCTACGGCCTGACCTAGCAACTTCTTACGTCGAAAATACTCATCGAACTGTCATCACATCAAAAGTCCTGCTGGAAGGCTTGCTGGCCGAAGTTCTACAGTCATGGCGGGAAATCCTCCAACATCGTACACCACCGACCCCACGTTATTCCTGTATACCTCTCTGACAGCCGGTTCTTCCCACATCATCACAGCAACGTCGAGGTTAGAAACGATTCTGAAGGCGAACAAGATCCCTTTCCGAGCGATCGATGTTGCCACAGATGAGAAAGCACGCATGATATGGGGTCGGAGGTCGAAGGGCAGAAAGCTACCTGGGCTGGTCAGATATGCCAGCATAGTCGGAGTTAGTACCAGAAACTCATACTCCTAGTCATCTCCCTTGGTCTTCTTCCTGCAAGCTGCTACTGTCGAAGCCGGTCACTGATGCGTGGAATCTATAGGATCTGGACCAGATTGAAGAATGGAATGAATACGGTGAACTGAAGGCACAGATAGCTGCAACCCTGTCACCCTATGACGCTTCAAAATCGGAACCGCAGAAAGTGGCTGTAGCACCCACGGCAACAGGAGCAGCAGCACCGCCTAAAACGACCACCTCCTCGGCGCCCCATATACGGATAGGGGATACTCCTTCGCGGACTCCGTCGGGCGAACAGCATGGTGAGAACATGCCAGCTGCGTTGAGACAGGCTAGCGAGGAGGCTGCGGCAAAGGCCAAGGAGAACATGCGGGCAAGACTAGGATTAAAGCCTCAGTCACCCTTGCATAAATCCGAAGAGCAGAAGGCCGAGACGAAGGAGAAGGGACCAGAAGATCAGAAACCGGAGGAGACAAAACCAGAGGACAAGTCAGCGGAAGTGGGACTGAAAGAGAAAGATCCAGAAGAGAAGAAAGCTACCGATCAGGAGGAGCCATCTGAACAGAAGGAACTCGAGGAGAAGACGGAAGCACTAGAGCTGGGGAAAGAAGACAAATCAGAGGGGCAGGAACCAGAAGGGAAGAAAGTAGATGAGCAGGGGGGAAACAAAGAGACCCAGAAGCTGGCTGGAGCATCCCAAGCTGCAAAGGATGACAAGCCGGAGCCCGTTACAGCTTCGGTGGAATCCGACGACTCGAAACTGGGAAAGGAGAAGGATGGAGAAGATGTATCATCCACAACCGGCCCAAGTGCAACCTCCAAGGAGGCAAAGGGTGCATCATCAGCTCCTGAGAAAGAAGCGGTATGATGCTGAACCAAGCTGGACCCCCCTCTCCCCCTTTTTTTACCCATTCATCCGACTAAATATAATAATTACTATCACGAGACACCCATCAAGTACATACAAACCATATAAAGTGTGGTCACATATATGCTACGGATGCTCCGTACTGTTACAAACGCTTCAACCCGTTCTTGCAACCGCACATGAACAGTGCCAATTACTGTACGGAGTAGTTACTTCGTATCTCAATAGTCCCTTAGCTGAGTGGTTGATAATAATAATTATTACTCAGGGGCTCCCTCGCCTCTCTGTATAGGCAAAGGGGCACCCGCAGTGCCTGTCTGTATGCACGGATGTCCTCTTGATCAGCGCGGACAGCAAGTGTCTCTGCCCACGACGCATCGCCATCGTCAATAATAATGCCAATAATCCGTCGCCATAGTCACGATAGCACCGCTCAGGGGCAGCACAAACCCTCCCCTTGGGCACCGAGAAGTGATGTCACGTGATGGACGTTGCCTAATCTGGGCATGTGAACGACGTTTCGTATTTTCGCTGCTGCGCATCTCGCGATCTCAACCGCCGGCTTGACACCACCAGGCCGTTAAAGTACTGTTATTTGCTGCTGGCCTGTGACCCGGGCGTGACGACGGGCAGGATGGGCTGGCGATGGCTGCACGAGTCCACGGGACCGCATTTTCGATAGAGATGCACGCCAAGGGGATCTGGGCTGCGCGGCGCTGCATTGCCTTTCCGATAGGCCGCCTCGCTGTGCGCCCACCAAGTGATGAGTTGTCCACCGACAGACGGACAAGGGCCTGCAGCGACTGATGCGCTGCTCATTGGGTTGTTCGTGTTTGGGCGTGCAGCATCTCCGGATCCAGTATAGCCTGTGTTGCGGCCTGTCTTAAAGCCTCCGCGTCCTCCGTCCGCTGTCCTGCTCGTCTCCCTTTCTCCTTTTTCGCCCTCACTATCTTATCGATCCCCTCCTGCTGCTGCATATAACCATATACCCCCCTGGGAGTCTGCTCGTCAAGCAGTCTGATAGAGAACGCAGAACACGCCCCCTCCATCCCAGGTCTATCCTGCTACCTCAAGAAATAACGTTGGTTTACATTCCATTCCACCACCTCTTACCCCGGCCCTGCATTGCCTCCCTAACGCAAGTTGTACATGTGCGAACTGGATAGCAGTACTAACCGGTATCTCCAGATTTGCTACACATAACTCATAGGCTGATATAACCCTTTCCGGGAAGCGTATCTCTGGTCTACTGGCCTTGACGGACCCCAGCGAACCCACGGACTGTTTGGTTTCTATAATATTTGGTCGTTCCAACACCTGCTCCCGCCTCTTCCCCTCCCGCATCTCTCTCGAGCTATGGCTCTGTCCCTCAGCAGTGACGAGCTGTTCAATACGGTACTCTCTTCCTCTAGAGACGCTTTCTGGCAAGAACATTCCCACCTCCCCGAACAACATCGACAGCAACTCTGGAGCCAACGTTTGGAGCCCTTCATGACAACTCCAAACCAGCAACCTAACTACACTCACGTCAAGGGACCCAGTGTGGACGAGACACCTGGCCTGTCTGGGAAACGGAGCTGCGAATCCATGAACCCCAACTCGACTTCCGGACGCCACACGAGCAAACGACGAGCTACCGTAGGTGATCCGATTTCTTGGTCAAAATATCCATTCCCCTCCAAAATTGTCTCTCTACAGACACCTGGGATTAACATGAAACTTATAGAGCCAGGAAGCTACTTTGGAATCCTCCAGCTGCAATAGACCTCAGCCACAACATTCGGTTTCCTCTCCTTCACGGATACCGCGGTACTCACCGCCTCTTTCAAGGCCTGGCAACTCCACACCAGAAACCGACATGCTTCCGCCCCCCACCACTGTTCACGAGTCCGACGAGTCATCTACTGGCCTTCCGTTCCTCCTACCAACACCAACTGCATCGAATTCTCCTGCGTTTGGTCTTGACCTTCTTGAACTCAACCCGGACCTCCACAGCTATACGCCTGATCTCTTCGACCAAAAGTTTCTGGATGGAACTCCCGGCGCTCTCGATACTTCGACGGCTGGAACTCCCAACCCTTCGCTTGACCAGAGCCCCTCCGCACAGACATCGAAGCAACAAGAAGTGGCCTCCTCTGGACCGGATTGTGTCGTACCCAACCCCTCTGGCTTCAGTGCTGAGATGAATCGTAGTTTTACTACTGACTCATTGTGTGGAGGAATGGATATGATCAGGTTCGGCTCGAACAGATCGGTTTCCAACAATCTGGAGTTTCCAGATCAATCATCAGCAAATTTCTTTGCTCCGTCATTACAACAGGAAAATGACACAAACTACCCCCTTTCCTTTATCCCCACCACCACCACTACTACCCAAGCTCCCTCTGATAGTAACATGACTCATGTTCAAATTTCTCAGTCCTTGCCCGAGTACGGGTCTGGCTACCTTCCTTCCCCTCTCTCTACCCCACGCACCCATTCTTCCTCTTCTTTGCATTCTTCGTCGTCGGCTTCATCTACTGAGATGAAGCCTTCTCTATCGAGCGAGAGTCAAGAGTCCTCTCGCTCGAACAACTCTAGAGCTCTGCGGAGGACACATGAGCAGATCATGCAAGGTACACGAAAGATTGCGCCTAAGGCTGCTGAAAAACAAGGTATTCAGCCCGCAGAGACCGAGCACCGGAAGATCAACATTCCGGCGGCTGACGGTCGATCTCGCGAAGTCGCTGTAATACCTAAAGCTTCGGTTCAACGACCTGCTCGTCAAAAGACATACTGCACAATGTGTAACGAGCAACCCGAAGGCTTCCACGGCGAACATGAACTCAGAAGACACATCGATCGATCTCATTCTCAAATACGCAAAGTGTGGATCTGTGTCGATATATCACCTGACAAGAAATTTCTTGCCAACTGCAAGGCCTGCCGAAATCAAAAACGGTATGGTGCCAACTATAATGCAGCTGCCCATTTGCGTCGCACACATTTTAACCCCTGCCAGCGTGGTCGTGGGGGGCGAGGCAAGGACAGCGAGAAACGCGGTGGAAAAGGCGGTGGCACCCACCCGCCGATGGATGTTCTGAAGCACTGGATGGTGCAGCAGGACGAGATTGTCCTCGACAACACTACAGTCATCGCCAAACCAACAAATAATGATGTTGCTAATGTCGCGGCAAAACCACAAATACCTCGCCGTACCTCAAACTCCAGCTCCAGCGATAGCGAATGTGGCAGCACCGCTGCAGCCGTGAACGAAAACAGCTTTACCACCGTCGCTGAAGAACAACACTTGGCTGCCCCTGCTATCGGCGCCAAATTCGACCCGTGCCTAACCACTATCGATCAACCCGGCTTCGATCTCTCACCTCAAATGCCATTCAGCCTCGATGACTTCACTGCTGCCTCGACTCCATTTGATTGGAGCGATGGCAGCCACCCGGCCACTCTCGGAGGAGGGTATATCCCCATGGGCCAGGGTATCATGAATACCTATGACCCATCATTTTATCCTTGATTATGTACAGACGAGCAGAACAGCGTAGGCTGGCTGATCGTCTGTCCTGCGTTGTTTTTGTTTTCCTGTCATGCCGTAGAACATTCGATCTACGATTTGACTTGATTTCTATTCCAACCTGTCCTTTTTACCATTCTCATCTCATGTCTGTTTTATGTATCTTGTTTAATCGCTTTATTGCTCATTTACATTGGATGGAGATTGCTACATATCTCCACCAACAGCTTTATGGTTTGAATCTTTTCTGGAGTGATCACTGGCTACAGTGCAGTGGAATAATCTCACAGTTTCCTATTTAAATCTTAGGTTTCAGGATTTATTTCTTGTCACTGGCTGTTGCTCTGCTATATTTTGAGGCTTCGTATCCTCCTTCCTCGTTATTATATAATATTTATATTATATTGGTCGTCGTCCCCCAGCCGTGTACCATTTGGTATGGCTGGAAGTTTTCTTTTCTTTTCCACTTTATATTCTTTTTCTCTTCGACTATGTATGAAACAGACTATATATACATCTGCAATGCCATGAATGACTAGCGAGTGATTGTGAACGCCTTGTAAAAGCCTTTCCGTCCTATTATTGAAGCCACCCTTCCCGGCTCTGCAGCCAGGATAGCCATGCCGCCGCCGTCCATTGACAGATGAAATTTTGTTATTTGTTAATGCGAGCAGATGTCTGGACCCTGAAAGTGTATTTATCTTCAGTGGCTGCATTGAAGTTGAAGAAACACGGCAGTATTGCTCTATTAGGCATGAACAACCCTGCATTCTTCAGGAATCAGTGCATGAGAGAATGATGAAGGCCACTAGCCGGGAGGTCATGCGTTGCGAGAGAGCCCGATTTCTGTCGTTCATTGGGCAGGTTTCCCTCAATAGGATCCTAGCTCGGCGGCAGCAATGCGAAAGTCGACTGGGCCAAAAATAACTCCCAATCATCGTGCACGGTCACGCTTGCCAAGCTCGGATCCACTATTTCCCGTAGCTATACTTGTTTTTATTGGTTAGATTAGTTTTATGCTTGTGGGAAGGTTCCAAGAAGTGTGAGTGGGCCTCAGCCAATAGGAAGCAAGTTTCATGCACAGTCCATCACAAGCTAAACTTTTTTAGGTATAGTGGGCTGCCAAAGCGCTCGATTCCTAGCTAGTGGAAACTCTGCAAACCGCCGATGAGATGAATTCAGGCCTGATGGGCCAGCGTGGTTGGCGGCGGTTGGAACATCCTATGTATAACTTTCCTATTGATGCATGAAGTCGGCTTTCATCCCTGCTGCGCTGCTTGCCTGAGAGTACGTACTACATATATGCAGTAGACTAGCGCACTTGTTCTTTCTTTCTTCACCTTCTACAACTTCATTTCGCTCTTCGCAGCTCATACCTGTTGATCAGGCCTTTCACTAACATCTATATTCATTGTAATTTTCTAATTTCATACTCGCGCTGGTCGCACTGCACTAATACTGGCATACACTTGATACCCGGGGGCATCTTTCCTCTCATTTTCCTTGTTAAACTTGTCATTACTTAATATTAACGACAGCGCTGTTGACCAGTATGTCTACCTCTAATATCTCTGCGTCATTTCATTTCTCCCGCCAGGACTTGAAGTCCCAGCCGGCTGTGCCGCAGCGGAGAATCAGTTTTGACGACCTTTACGATGCGACTGATGAATCGACGGATGATTCGGATGTGGATGGCTGCCCTTCACTCTCCAGCCACGGCGATACTCGCTCCAGCACTGCATCGTACACAAACTCTTCAAACCGCATGTCGACAGGAACAAATCAGGGCGAAGGGCGCCGCAATAGGTATCCCGTCATCATGATTCCGCCACCGACTTTTAACACCATTCACCAGCAGCACAAGAATTCGCCTGTGCCTCCCACTCCTCCGCCGAAAATTCCCCTGTCGCCCATGGTACTGTCTCGAATTTCTGGAGTTGTTCCGGCTCTTTATGCACCTCCATCTTTGGCTGGCAGCGCAGCTTCCGAAAGACCATCGACCCTTAGTGCACCCCAGACTCCAGATTTAGCTGCTGTACCTGATGTGGATTGGGATGAAGAACAACTTCGTGTTCAGTCAGACACCGAGGGAACCGGAAACCCTAGATCAGCGAGTTCTGATATGAGTCCTCAGATCGACATCCAGCTTGAACAACCTGAAGATTGGAGTCTGGTTCTGGATCGTTTCCCTCAAATTCCAACTCATTATCCTGTTGTAAAAGCCCCCGAGAGCGAGGGCGAGGCGGGATACGAAAGTGAGGCATCTTTGGAAGGCGTTCAACTCTCGTCTGCTGCCATGGAAACGCTTCAGCATATCCGAGTTCCTGGAGAGGATAGTAACGCTTCATCTGCCTCTTCCGTCAACGACCCGTCGGAAATGAACCAATTCACTGGATTCCCGGATGCTCGCCCTAAGAGCATGAACGACGCTGCCTGTGCTTCCGTCAGCTCAGCCTCCTCCTTCACAAGTTTAAGCATCCCATCGCCTGGTGGATTCTTTTCATCCCTTGATCGACACGCTCGAAAAACATGGAGTTTGGTTCCAACTAGCAATGTTCCCACATCCGCTGTTGCGGAAAGATTCTATGATCTACCATGGAACGCTCATCCTCAGGGCCGCGTTATTGAACAGGTAGTGGAATTTCGAAACAGTTATGCGGATGACGACGATGATGCCACCGAGGGTCCTCCAACTGCCAAGCGGATAATTGGCTCTGCTCCACAAACTGCACGAAAAATCCCTGAGGAAGTTTCCGAATTGGTGCTGAAACTCGACATTGACGAGAAGAAGCAAGACGATGCGTCCGAGTATGATGAATCATACGAGGAAGGTCTGCAGACCCGCGCAATGCAGAGCCTGGATCGTACCAGCACATGGCTAGCCGCGCAAACTCAATACATGGCAGCATTGAGCGACACAAACCCCATCAACAGTCCAAAGGAGACACCGGTCACTCCTATCAATGAAAATACCACCACTGTGCCGGATATAACTATCAGCACTACAAAAACGGTCCGCTTCCTTGACACCATCCCTGAGGAATCCTCCGAGAGCCAATCGGGCCCATCAACTCCGCTCCCACCTCTTCCAGTTGCAATGAATTCAATCTTTTACCGCGGGTTTCAACATTTCATGCGCACACGGGGTAAGAGTTGCAACTTGGATACTTTCCTTCATAGCCATTACCGATATGAGGCAATGCAAGTTTCTCGCCTAGCCATGCGCGAGAAGCATGTAAAAAAGCTCGCTGGCAAATATGAGCTTGAGAATCCCGTTCGCCCGCCCTACAAAGGTCCATTCTCGCAAGCTCCTCGAAACTCTGTCCTCCCCCAAATAATTGCTGAAAAGAAGATGTACAACGATGTGGAAAAGGAACAGGATGCCCTGCTGCAAGTTAAGGATTCCCTTTGGGTGATTGATGCTCTCAGGTATATCAATGGCGGCAGGTTGATCCCTAGTCCTGCTGCAAAGCGTCTTGCAAAGACAAATTTACCCCTAGGTGGCCCGCAGAGCTCTGTCAAGCGCAGAACCAGGGTACTTGATCTAGGAGGCCAAGCTTCTTGTGAATGGTCTTGGTTTGTCGCACGAGAGTTTCCCAGCGTTAGGGTTTACACGGTCGTGACCAAAAAGCAATCAAGGGATATGGCCATCCAAGGCCCACCAAATCATCAATGCGTGTTAGCTCCAAGCCTTTGGAAACTTCCATTCCCTGACAATCACTTCGACTTGATTTCTGCCCGAACACTTCATATGCTCCTTCAGTCAACTCGCAATATCTTGGTAAATGGCGAAAAGGTAGACGAATTTGAACTTTGCTTGCAGGAGTGTTTCAGGTGCCTAAAACCCAGGGGCTATCTGGAGTTCTTCCTCATGGATTCGGACATTGTCCGTGCCGGTCCATATAGTTCTGCCACTTCTGTCGAGTTTGCCTTCAACCTGAAGACTCGTGGGTATGATCCGAACCCCACAAAAACATTCCTCTGGAAACTAAAGAAGTCAAACTTCGGTGCCATAAAGCGTGCATGGCTCTTCATGCCAATGGGTACAGCTCTAAGTGATGCCTCTCAAGTCCCTGGCAGCAGGAACATGGAAAGAGGCAGTGATATAGGAAGCACTGCTGATGTTGCGAACATCACTGGGTTACTCGTGGGGTGGATGTGGGAGCAGTGGGTGCTGAAGTTGCAGATGGAGATGGGCCGTGATGAGAAGAGGTTGAGGAGATGAATGGTGTTTTTGATGAAGGCCGCAAGTCGGGCGCAGGATGGAGATGTCTGAGTGGCTGGGCTATGAAGCCTTCACGGTCATATTGATGATGGAGCGGAAACTCATACACTCCTTACATATTTCCTCACCTTATGTTATTCAACGTTCTCCATTTCATGTTTATTCGGACACCACAGCTCTGGTTAGCTTTCCCCTCATAAACAGTGGGTCTTAGGCTAATCTCGTGGGTTCATAATGTCGGGTCATAGACCTTCACCCCTTAGAAGTATTAGTATACTTTTGACATACCATGCTTTTAAAATATGTATATCTTACCAACTCTGTATATATGTATCATGCTAATGGCAGGCACTCAGTGCCGGCGAGAATGGGGGAAATCAACTTCTTCACAACTCCTCTCCTCCAGGCAAAAACCTGTATAAGTCAACTTGCCATCTCATCATGCTCTTATATCCCCTTCAAATACAGCCTCGTAGTAAGTGTTAAGGGTGAAATAAGGAGAATTCGATATTCATCCAAATGTCAAGCGGAAGTTCGATTTGACTGAATAAGCATCAATCGGCTTAGATAATACAATTATGCTATATCACGTGATGCGCATGGCCCACCGAGATATCCAAAGAAACACGAAAGCTTTCGCAGTTTGGAGTAAAAGCACAAGAACGCAAGCTTGCTAATCCTCCATGCACATCACTTGACCGGTGCAACCTGGGGCGCCGTAGCTCATATACCTTTGAATTTATCAGGCCACCCAAGTTAAACTTTCCGCTACGATGTTATTTTTCAGGTAAGCCGACTGGCCAGTGCATTCCCTAGCCATGAGGAAGGCTCTTGGTATCCGGAATTTGGCTGCAAGAGCTTCTCATAACCTGAGCGACGCTGACTTTGGTTAACTAGCTTCTTCAAGACCCTTACGAACCGCACCGTCACGATTGAATTAAAAAATGACATTCGGATCCGTGGTACATTGAAGAGTGTGGATCAATATTTGAACGTCAAGCTGGACGATATCGAGGTTCTCGACTTAAACGAGTATCCGCATCTCTCCAGCGTTAGCAATGTTTTCATTCGAGGAAGTGTGGTGAGATATATCGTGCTGCCACAATCCGAGGTTGATACCGGCCTACTGGAGGACGCAACAAGACGAGGTATAAGACTACCCAATCTCTCTCTTTAGTTTAGAATTGGTACTAATAGTTTCATGCAGAAGCCGCAAACCAAGCCAATAAGGCACGGTAATGAAACGATAAAATCAAAATAAAAAAAATTAGAAACTGGTGGGCGCTGGGCTATGAGAGGATATTCCTGAGTGGCGGGAATGCCACCGCATTTGTACTTGGGTCATGGTGACTGCGGTATCTGAGCAGGAGCTGTGGCCGATGTCATGTCATTGCACGCACCAGGGGATGCGGATGAGCTCCTCCAGCTGCGCTTGCCTCCACCAGATCAAATGTATACGATAGAGCATTCAATGATCTGCCGGAAAAAAAAATACCTAATGAGATATTATGTCATGTCAATTATTGGCTATCATCCATGGCTTACTCCAGGCATAACATTATCCCAACTGTACGATCGATAGAGGCGATAACAATAGCTTTTGTATTGGCGCTTTGCACATAATTGCTTAGGTAATCAACGTTAAATTGGATATGTACACGTGACCTCGCGCTTCGCGTTTCGCGCTTCTCGATAAGATAAAAAGGAAATTTCACGACTTCGACTTCGCACTGGAATGACCGAGATGATGCTGCGGGAAGTAGGGGACGGCCTCCGAGATAGTTCCCCCTTCGTGGAGCAGGTTTCACTCTTTTAGATTCTTGTTATAATTTAGCCCGTTAGCCCGTCGCCACGACTGCTGTTCAATATGCCGCCAACGCTCACTTCACCGTTCTTTCGCCCAAACGGCCAGCCAGCAAAAAGACCCTCTCCATTATCTACAACCCAAAAGAAACCCACACCAACACGAAATGGGAGCATACTGAACTTTTTTAAGAAATCCGACACGGCCCCCAAGCCTACACAGCCTCGAATTACAGAATTTGGAGTCAGAAGCAAAGTAAATGTGCGGGGACGTCCACGGCCAGATATATCTAATGACACTTCAACTGGGCTATTTTTCGAAGAGGAAACCCCCAATAACTCGAATTCGGAACCTCAGACGGATGGTATTTCCTGTTCAGATGAGCGATATGAGCTAGCGGACATGCTTTGGGGCTCACTGCCTAACTCCTCCGGAAACAACAGTCGGGGGGATGATAGGTATAACGAAAGTCCCGGGTCCGTGAAAAGACGTAGGACGAGCGATGGAACCTATAAAAGAGGGATTAATGGCCCTGAAAGCGCCGCCTCTAGTCCTATTGGTAATGATGGGGATGGCTCGGCTTCAGCTCGGGAAGCACCGAGACTAGAGAGCGAGGATTCATCATCCACACCTACTATTGCCCGCCATGGACCCTTTGTGGACGATTCTGATAGCGAGGACGATAGGAGTCCTTTGTGTGTTGATGTGAGAGACACGAATGCAGGCAAAAATCCTGAAATTGGAGACCGCACTACACAACCATTTCCAGATATGGAATTGCCAGATGATAAGAGACTTGAAGACTCTAGCTGCCAGTCAATCAACCGGCCAGAGAGCGAAATTGGTCCGGGGTGCGATACTCCAAATGAACTGGAATCAACTCTCGTACCCGACGAGGATTTAGGCCACTTGGTTGAGACTTTCTCTGACGACGAAGTGACGGTCTGCCCAATATGCCAAACTTCCCTTAGTCGGTTGTCAGATTCTGTAAGTTACACTTAATTTCATGAAAAAAGCGCTTTCAATGATATTAATACTGATTCAGGAAGCATCGCTGCATGTGAATGGCTGTCTGGACGGCGTTGACGGCGACTCTGCTACTGTCATTTCTACGGTAAAGGATACCCAACTCACGCAACAGCCTCCAAGAATATTGCCAAGAATGAAAAGGAAAGAAATTCCTCGACCTGGACAGAAGGATCCCTTCTCGTTTTCCTCAGCCTCGTTGTCCACATCTGCTTTCACCAAAATTATGTCAGCAAACGAAGAGGACACTGCGTGGAGCGTGGCAGCCTCTCGTGAAGAAGCATCTCGGGGAAAGCAGGCCTACGAGCGGACCTGTCCTTTCTACAAAATTCTACCGGGATTTTCCATAACCGTAGATGCCTTTAGGTATGGTGCTATCGAGGGGTGCAATGCTTACTTTCTTAGTCACTACCACAGTGATCACTACGGTGGTCTAACATCATCCTGGTCACACGGGCCCATTTATTGCAGCACAGTCACTGCGAATCTGGTGAAACAACAGATAAAAGTAAAGCCAGATATGGTTGTTGAACTTGAATTTGAGCAGAAGACCGAGATACCCGACACTGATGGAGTGAGCGTCACGATGATTGCCGCAAACCATTGCCCCGGCAGCTCACTTTTCCTCTTTGAGAAGGCCATCGGTAAGGGGAAAAATGCAAGGATACATCGGATCCTGCACTGTGGTGACTTCAGAGCGTCGTCGGCCCACATAAATCACCCCCTCCTCCGGCCAAATATCCAGGATCGTCATACTGGCAAGTTAAGTGAACAGAAAATTGATGTCTGTTACTTGGATACGACTTATCTAAACCCTAAATACGCATTCCCATTCCAGCAGGATGTTATCTCCGCGTGCGCCCAACTATGTGCAGGGGTGAACGAAGGTTATTTTGACACGTTGGGTGCAAGGAAAGGACAAGCGAAGAAGTCAGGGTCCATGACTCCACTTCTGCAGAGTAACCAGGGCTCGGACCGAAACTCCGTGGTAGACCAACACAATCGCGGCAAATTGCTTGTTGTCATTGGAACATACAGCATCGGCAAAGAACGAATGTGTCTAGGCGTTGCTCGTGCCTTAAACTCCAAGATATACGTTTCTCCGAACAAGAAGCGGATATGCGAGTGCTTGGAGGATGCCGAACTAGCCAGCATTCTGACATCCGACCCCCTAGATGCCCAAGTCCACATGCACAGCCTAATGGACATGCGTTCAGAGACTCTGTCTGAGTACCTAAAATCCCTTGGCTCACGTTTTACAAGGATCATCGGCATCCGACCCACCGGTTGGAGCTACCGTCCACGTGGCGGAACACGGACTGACTGCCCTCCCGTCTCCGCGGTTCTATATTCAGATGCGTGGAAACCTCGCTTCTCTATTAACGACCTCGTCCCGCAACGTGGTAGCACAAATGAGGCTGCATGCTTCAGTGTTCCGTATAGCGAACATAGTTCGTTCCGGGAGCTGACGATGTTCTGCTGTGCATTACGAATATCGCGTATCATTCCCACAGTGAATGTTGGCAGCCCCAAGAGCCGTGAGAAGATGAAATATTGGATAGATAAGTGGGAAGCAGAAAAGAGGAAAAACGGGCTATTTGGAATCGAGGCCGAGAGTGATAACAAGTGGTAGTCTATACCGCCTCGTCGTATTTTTGAGGTATATTCATAACCATGAATAAATTTGCTTTGAAGGGATACCCGGAAGTTATTTATTATTTCCATGCTATTTATATATGCTTTGGTTCAATACGTTACGACGTATGTATGTACACGGATCCCAGAAACACTGGGAAAATATGCAGATCATTTTCATCAGGATTTTGTGCAAATGAGGACGACTCGATGTCCCCATCCGTTCCCTTTAGTTCCTTAGCCGAGCCGGAACCCACCAGTAACTCTGTTCTGGAAAAACAGCGTTGGGTCAACTGCACGCCTGACCGCTAAAGCCTTTTCCCTTGTTGAAGGGGCCACGCGTCCCCAGAAGTCTTGGTTGGCGTTGAGGTCGTTCAGATAGAGGGGGCAATATGCTTTTGGCAGCTTGCCTTCATTGGTAAATTGCTTAATCATTTCACCCTGAACAGTATAGTATTTGCGAGTGGCTGCCTCGATTACCGAATCTGATGTAGAGCTGTTCCAAGAGACAGCAATCTGTAATAGCATGTAGTCATATCTCGGGTCGAACCCGGCAACATCCTATATGGGCAGCCAAGTAAGTTTATTTCTCCTTCAGCTGGAATGATATCGTAACTTACACCTCCTGACTCCTTGGCTTTGGTGGAGATAGATCGTGGCAATGGCTGAAGAGCGAGTGAGCTTGCACTACCGGGAATATCGATGAAATCGTCCGTGACATTGTTCCAGTGGTCAATGAAAGACTTGAAAATATCGTAGCCGTGTGTGCCTGATGGGTTGACGCTTGTTTCAGCGCCAATGGAGAACCGGTTACCATGGCGAATATATTCATCATTGGCAAGCATTAGGCTATGGTAACTCTGTCTCTTGACGGTATTTCGAATATTCGGAATCTGGGTGAAGTTTCGGAACACGCCCTCGGGAGGAGAAGGCCCGTCATAGGTTAGGAACACGACCCAAACTAATGACGGGTTGCGATTGACGGTTCCAATAATCGATGCCTTGTCATCGGTATTGTACTCTGCAAAATCTCGGATTGCTCGCGTAAGGCTTTCGGTGTGATTGCCGTTAAAGAACATACTGCCTCCCCAAATCTATGGTATGTTGTTAGGAAATCTGATATAAATTTGGATTTGGGGCGTTAGGTACCTCTGGATCTTGAGTATGAGTCTTAACAGTAAAGGCGGTAACGATTCCAAAGTTTCCAGAGCCGCCTTTCATCACAGCATACAGATCTGGGGATCGTTAGAATAGAGGGCATTAGACTCCGTTTGGCCATTGAGTCCTTACCTGGATTTGAAGTAGCATTTGCATTTACGATTGTGCCATTGGCAAGCACAACTTCAAAGTTGACGACGTTGTTTGCAGCCCAGCCATACTGACCACTGAGGAAACTAAGGCCACCTGCAAAATATTAGTTACGGGCAATCGGTAATCTACACAAGGAAACGATAGACTTACCTCCTAGAATGAGACCGCCAACGCCGATACCACCGAGACGGCCACCTACAACGGTTTGGCCCTTATCTTTTAGTCCACCAACAGCCTCTTCCAACTTCAAGCCCGGTCCAAGGATGGCAGTCTGGGTGTGTTCATTGTAGGTTATTTGTTTGAGATTCCGGGTTGAAATCAACACTCCGTCGTGTATACTAGAGAAAAGCTGGTTGGGCGAGTGTCCGCCGGACTTTATAGCAAAACGAGTTGTTTTCGATTCTTGGATAGCAGCAACAGCTCTTGACATATCCCGAGCATTCTTTGGAGCTATAATGCAGTCAGGGCGGAGGGCGGTGCATGCTGTCGACCAGTAGTTTTGTTGTTCGGTTTCATAGTCAGTTGAGTTGGGTAAATCAACCTCCACACCTTGTGCTAGTAGCTTTAGGCAGAGCCGACTATTCTGATATGAAAAGCCCGCTGCAGTCGAGACTCCAAGTAGAGCTACGGCTGCTTTGAGTATGATTGCATGCATAATGAATTTGGTATTTGGTCCCTAGGTTCCCGCGTGTTGCAAAAACAAGAGTCCGAGTACCAACTTCACCTTGGAAAGATAGGGATTTTGGCCGTCATTTTATCTGTCATCTGCTGCTGCCAATACCGCTTGACGACGCTCCCGATCCTTACTCTCAAGCATTGCACGACACATCGGGTTATAGCAAACTAGCTTCATCCGGGAAAAGAGGTGCAAGGTGCAGGGGTACAACGGAAAATGGGCCATGTAAGGACGGACCCGCTACAAGTCACGGAGGCCAGCCACACCTTGCGGGATATAAAAAGGTGTGATCTGATGCTGTTTCCAGAAAGGCTCCATACGAAAGCGAATCTCAGATCCGCCTAGTCTAGAATATGCAAACGCATAATCCCATCTTGCGATTTATGGCATGCCCTTGACCATGTTCCCGGGTGTAGAATAGGAACCATCCCCTCGAAATTTACAAGGGCCATACTCGCCTCGTTAATATGCCATGCCATCTTCGCTTCCCCCAGCTCATTTCGCTGCAGTATGCAGGAGTAAGACATGTCAAGTCGACACCCTATACCGGTATAATGGCCGCCTACTCCATGTCAACTAGCTTGAGCGTTCGGAGATTCAAGAACCTGGACTAGTTACTCGGGGTCCACGCGAAAGAATTGAGATGCATCACAGAAGAGGTGCTGCTTTCGTATTCTAATCCCTGGGTAAGTTTCCTACAGGGACTCCCGGGTTACGGGCCCTGGCGGTCTGGAGGAATCGAATCGTGGGGATTTTCAAGCAGGTGTTCTCTTTACTCCGTACTCCGTTCATCGTTACCATGTTCTTTCCTTGTTTCTCCAGTCGAGGATTGAGTTTGCGCTGGTTCGAGCTTTGGCGACCCTATCCGCAAGAAGCCCTATAGCGCATATACACACGTAGCAATACAATAGCAAGGCTACGATCCGGAGTCAAAAGGATCAATCTTGGTACTTCAGACGGTGTATTTATCGGATGCTACACAATTCTGGCGACAAAATTCACCGTGTTTTTGGGCCGAGATCCATGTGATTGGCCTGATCCTTCAACTGTACCCATAGCCAGCAGGATGACAAGCCTTGCCAATGGTCGAATTGGGGATGTATCTCGAATGCCGTCCTCGTGGCAGCAGAACTTAGCGACCCTGCAGTGTCTGCAGTGTATGTGCAGAACACGTTTCGAGTGTGGTCCTCCGTAGTAGGGCACACAACGGATGGACGAGTCATGACATCGGTCACCGTTGCATACGAAGCAGAACTTTCTTCATCCGCAGCTTAGCGTGCTGTTCATGCAGCCATTCCATAACGATACGATGGCATAGGAGAACTTCCCGTCTTGCTCAAGTTTAGAAGAGCACAGATTTTAAAGAGCACTTTAGCAATGCCCAGCTCTGGTTTCTCAGTGGCTGGCAGCCCAAACCGTCCGTCGCTCTCTTTCCTCTTGCTTTATGGGCGAATCCCCATAGCAAAAAGCGATTCGAGTCAGTGTAAGGAGTATGCTAGACTCTCTCGAAACTCTCTCAAAAATGGTCTCTAAGTAACTCGAGCGTTCTTCGGATATACCAAGGTGCGTAATTGTGGTCCAGATCAAATGAACCGACTGCAGACTTTCGTCCTCAAGATGCGAAAGGATAGCTCGAGTACCCCGGTTCTCTTTCTAACCCATCATTGGCATGCACAATGAGCATAGGCAGCCATACAATCATCTCACCAAGCGAAGCAACTCGCGTAAATCGTCAACATCGGCCACTGGAAGCGCCTCGCTCAACTAGTTAACTAGTTAACTAGTTAGCCCGCCCAGGCCCAGGCGCAGAATGCGTCGACCAGTGCCATCTTCTGATCTAAGGCCCTCGTCAATCCGTGATAGCTGCACTCCCGCTTCGCAAGTGTCACTGGCGCTCAGTCATTCGATGGGCTGTAGAAAATGTGTCGAGAAGGCGATGTAGTAATATGGAAGAAGCGAGATGACGGCCGAGTCGTTGGTAGAGTGCCGGAAGCCGCCTGCGGCCGTTATGTGCCCTCTCTGGGCGCGGCCATCCCGCAAGTTGTTTTCATAACGGTTATATATCCCGGGTCTTTGCTCTCTATCGTACGAAGGTAGTTGTAGCTGTGATTGACGTTGTTGACGTTTGATGTTTGGTCGGTGTGGAAATATTCTAGGAGTGGAGATTGACTAGTTACCCAGCTTGGTTAAAGCAACTAACTAGTTAACTAGTTGCCGAGGCATCATTAAACTACCCATAGCGACCGCCGACTACTTACATCGGCCATTGAATAACAAATATGATAGAAATCAAAGAAATAATCCATACGCCGTACTGTTGGCTATCAAATTATTGGTCGGTCGGAAGATAAACCATGTCCTGCGACACGTCGTACCGCTACGCTAATTAACTCTAAACCATGTTAACTAACGACTCAGTTGACAGGCCTTGCAATGCCACCTCTAGGGGACTCTCGTCAATTGACAGGAATCGTCTAGACACCACCAGTGTCGTTGTTTAAAGGACACCCTGCATTCCTCATAGCAGCGTATATAATGTCTCTTTCCAAGAATCCTATTTCTGCAGAACTCATCGAGATCCTGAAGTCTCAAGTCAAATCATCTGAGATTCTGACACCCTCGTCTGCGGGGTATTCAAAAGCAATAGCCCGTTGGTCTGATGCGGCAGTCAAACCCGCTGTAAGTAAACAGTATATGACTTTGTTTGTTCTTTCTTCCATAGAGGAATATATATAGCTAATGAAAAGGGTGAAAACTAACGAGATATTGTCGGTAGGGTGCTGTCCTGCTTGCTACTAATGCGGAAGATGTTAGTGCTGCTGTCAAGCTCGCGCAGCAGCACAAACTGGATCTGGCAGTAAAAGGTGGCGGGCATTCTGTATCAGGAACAAGCTCGTCTGATGGTGGGCTCGTAATTGGCTTGTCTTGTATGCGACATGTTGAGGTTGATGCGGAGCGCAGAACGATCACCGCACAGGGAGGTTGCCTCTGGGTTGACGTTGATGAAGCTG